ATGGTCCACGCTGTGCATGACGGGGCGTACTAGAATCCCACATTGCTTGGGAAAATATAAATGATCCACTTAATAAGGTGAGGGCAATCCTCCCCTAATAAGCCGGTTTTATTAGGTGGAGTTAGACCCAAAATCCTTTCTAACAGGGAGCTTATCTTTTGTCAAGAAATATTGTTGCAATGTCATTTGCACCGAGAGATACACATGAAGCACAGGTACAATTTGCTTTAGAGCGAGGAGTTCCTGCTTTGATTGGTGTTATTGCATCCAAGAGGCTCCCCTATCCATCTAGAGCGTTTGATATGGCCCACTGTTCTCGTTGCCTCATTCCATGGGGTCAATATGGTAATTTCATCTATACGGAGTTGCATCGTTATTCTTGCTCGACTTTTGACTTCTGAATTGGCTTTGCATTTGAATGACATCTAGACGTGAAAAGTGGACGAAGCCAATTCTGGCTCCCCAGAAAAAATGTAGGGTTGTACCAAACCTGACAAGGAAGCCCAAAACATGAGTTTGGCAGGGCATATATTATGGCATTTGTCGCATCTGAACTTTAAAATTTACGTAGTTCCTAAAATAGTTGTTTCTTGATGTTTTATCTAACAGATGGCACCTACTTGATGGAAGTTGATAGAGTTTTAAGGCCAGGTGGCTACTGGATTCTCTCCGGTCCACCAATCAACTGGAAGAACCACTGGAAAGGGTGGCAGAGAACGGTGGAGGATTTGAATGCAGAACAAATGCAAATAGAGAATATAACAAAAAGCATATGCTGGAAAAAACTGGTTGAGAAGGGTGATATAGCTATATGGCAGAAACCAACCAATCATTTGCACTGCAAAAAGTTCCACAAGACAGTAAAAAATCCTCCATTCTGCCCTGCCCAGGATCCAGATAAAGCTTGGTTCGTGTTCCTTGACTCCTCGTATTAGAATCATACATGCATTCGTAGGGTAAAATTAGCCGGTTGTCATTGAACTTCTTGTGAAATATTGCCCAGATTTAAAGAAGAAAAAATGGATTAATTTGGTGACCTCTTGTGACTTTTTCCATGTACTCTTATGCACATTAATGTGAATATGTATTATTTGATAGTTGAATTTTAATTTCATAAATGTATATGTATTTGTTGCACTACCTCGTCTCAAAAGCTATGCTTTCAGGGAAGGGACAGATTTATTAACTTAAAATTTAGACTCCAGATTGTCCCTTGCTGACAGAACTCATTTTTCGATTAAAATCATGACAGGTCCATAGTCCAAAAGGAGGCAGTGAAACTTTAACTTAAGACCTTTTATCTGGTTCCATTTGGACCACCCTAGGTGGTTTCAAAGTTGTATGTCTTGCCTTTGATAATTTTTGAACTTGTACAGGTATACAGATTTAGAAACTTGTTTAACTCCCTTGCCTGAAGTTTCCAACAATGAAGAAGTTGCTGGTGGGGAATTGGAAAAATGGCCTAAGAGATTAAATGCAGTACCTCCCCGGATTACTAGGGGGACGGTAAATGGTGTCACTCTGGAAACTTTTCAGCAAAACTCGCATCTATGGAGAGGAAGAATATCGTATTACAAGACCGTTAATAACCAACTTGAACAAGTGGGAAGGTATCGCAATATACTTGACATGAATGCGTACCTTGGTGGATTTGCGGCTATTTTGACTGAAGATCCACTTTGGGTTATGAACATAGTACCTGTTGAGGCTAAGGTTAACACACTTGGTGTCATCTATGAACGAGGATTGATTGGAACTTATCACAGCTGGTAAATCTCGATCCTTGGTTCAACTTGTTATATATTTATACTATAAATATAACATGTGAAAGAAATAATGAATTAAGATAAAGTGCCCAACTGGTGA